GTGTAAGAGACTGACTACTTAGAATAACCAAAATTAGAATGCTGTTACGCAGCAGACTATATTTACAAAATATATATGCACGACTTTTTAAACGTGTTTTAAAGTTGTCTGCTTTCTCTAATGCTTTATTACTGTATAGTAAAATACTTCTGTATTTCATGTAAATGTTACTGTATAAATAAGTTATAAATCAACTGTATCACATTATGTTTCAGTTGTTTACTAGCTTATTAGACAGTTTACATCATTAATTTTGCCTCAATTAATGCTTTGACATCAAGCTGACATTAACATAAAATTCAAATTCATTCAGTATGTTAGTATTCTTTATGTGAATTGTGTATCCACTACACTTGTGGTCCACTACATTACTTTGCTGTGTCCCTGGTTAGTGCTATCATAGTCTCAATCAGTCAGTCACCCTTTACCTCCTGTCCAGTCGCAACATCAATGGCTGTGAATACTGTTCCTGATGCCCTGTGACAGGAATAAGATAACCAATTTACTTCAATGCACATCTTAACAGTCCACCAAAACTAGTGTATAAATCAATTATAAACAGCCAGAGATACTAACAGGTTTGCACTCAAAACTTATGCCCCACATGCATGATTCACCCAGTGTGACAAAGTATAACTAGACACTGTGGCTGGTAACCGGCTGAGAAACACTAGAATGACACGATCACAAACGGAGACCTAGGATGTGTCTGAGTCCTGTTGAGGTGTCTGACTTTATTAAATCTGAGACTGCTGATGCTCAAAAATCGATTTCATAAAGCCTGTCAACAACTTGATTCTTTTAACTCCAACTACTGAACTTTTTCCAATTGCAATGAACACATATCACTGGAAATTTAATTTAAATTGCACCATCTTGGTCTTATACAACAGTCAGCAAAGTCAGTATGACTGTTGGACTTGGGGAGAAAAACTAAATGGTGAAACAAATAATTAGGTTTGGTGAAACAGTAAAGGTCTTAACATCATTAAGTAGGCTATATATGATTGTGCACACACAGTATAAACTTAAATCCTATCACATTTTGCACAGAAACCTGGTGAATGTGCACTCACCCCTGACCAATTTTTTCATATCTGGTGTACTTCTTCTTGGGATCTCCAATGCTGACTATGGTTCCTGCAAGTCACACACAAAATCAAATAGTAAAGAAATGGCAAATGAATGTGTCAGAAGGCATTTAAACTGCTGTACTGATGTATCAACAGATTTATAAAATTATTGAGTTTTACTCAGTTTATCCATGATCTCCTCATCTGACATCTTGCTCTTCTTTCTTTGTCTGTCTGTGGCCTTGGAGGC